CTACACTCTCATGCAATTCCCCTTCACATATCCTTTGTTCCTGCCAAATTGGGCCTCTCAACATTCTGTACTCACATCTTGCCCTCTCCCATAGGTGAGCCATCACTCCCATCCTCATACTTAGAATAGACTCCCCTTCCTTCCAATTCTGTTTGAAAAAGCCACTCTCTTTCTTCAAGGTCTAATTCCACATTATCTCCTTGAAGCCTTCCCTAAAATTCCCCCCCCCATCCCTTAGGTGAAAAAGATCTCTCCTTGATAAATTCCTCCTAGCATTTCCCCTGGCTCTCCTTTGTCCCTGTTCCATTTTACCTTGCACAGTAACTCACTGGGTACTTGTAGTATCCCTACCCCCTTCTCTTTTGGACTGTCACCTCCTTGAAGGTAGAGATGGTGCCATTTTTTCATGTTTTCATTCCTAGCTCCTACAGGGACCATACTGCAGAAAGAGCCTCAGAATCAGGAAGACCTGGGTTTAGGTCTTTGTCCGATGCCTCCTGGCTCTGGGCCCCAAGGCAGGACGTTTAATCCCTCAGTGCCCCATGAAATGCTCTGACTCTAAATTTTAGAACAATCACTAGCCTCCATTGGTGGGGGGCTTCTTCACCAGAAATTTTCTAAACCAATGAAAGCACATATCTAAAAAAAATGCCCAGTATGATGTCTTATACACAGTAGGTCTTTAAATATTTACTGAACTGAATAATAGTTGTTCAGTAAGTTCTCATTGAATTGAGTCAGGTTAGTTTGGATTGTATTAAATTGAATTGCATTGTGGCTACAGTCAGCGCCTTCACCTTGGAATAATTCTAAAATCTGAGAAGTCAGTATCCATAAGAACAGTCATCAGAAATGAGATTATGTGTCCACTCAAGGAGGGCACTGCTCAGTGAGAAGGGAACATGGCAGATGACAGCCAGCCAAAGGTCCTAAGTCTGCTCTTTAGAAAGAGAGCCTTAAACAAATTAAAAATTATAAAAAAGAAAGAGAGCCTAGCATGGAGGGAGTGTTGGACATGGAAGCTGGCAAGGCAGCAAGTCCACAGGCAACTTCCAGCTCCCTCCTGGAAGATCTGTTTAAGAAGGCTGGGAAATGTCATTCTCTCTTTCCCTCTCCCCTAACCCACCTACCTCCCTTTGCTTCTGAGCTGGCAGCTGCATCCAGGGGCCAAGTCTTTTGTTTTACAAGTTTGCTAAAAGGGTTTTAACTTAGAAACATTCATATGTGTTTGCATTGCTTCCTTCCACTTGGAAAGACTCTCTGAAACTGCTGGTAACCCATAACAAAAAAAAATAAATAAATAAAAAAGAGAGAAATCTATAAAGTCCACAACTCATAAGCTAGTTATGGGAAATTTTCTATCAAGCTCTATTTGCCTATTTTGGTGCTTAAGGGGAAAAAGGGTAGGGACCTCCTGAAGGGACTGTTCACAGTCCCTCTGAAAAGGAGATACTTTAACAACAGGGGAAACACCTGGATTTCAACTTAGACTACTGATATTCAGGGACATACTCTCTCTCCTCTCTCTGTCTCAGTGTCTCTGTGTGTGTGTGTATGTCTGTCTCTGTGTGTGTCTCTCTCTCCCTCCCTCCCTCCTCTCTCTCTGTCTTTCTGTCTCTCTTTATTATCTCTCTCTTCTCTCTGTGTGTGTCTCTCTTCTGCCTCTCTCTGTCTCTCTGTCTCTACATCTCACAAAGAAGAAATTATTCTAATTGTGATGGCATTAAAAAACCTACGTCTTGACAGCATGGGAAGATCAGCCCCAGGGTGGACACCAATGTGTAGGCACTGTGTTTCAAAAATGGAATCCCCTGAGGTGCTACATGAGCAGGCATGAACAGGAGAGGGGCTGATGCATATATGACTGAATCAGAACAGCTGTGCATTGTCCTGCTAAGTGACTGATCAAACATCCAGTAACTACTGAGCACCTCTTGTGTGTGAAGGCCAGTGCTAGGCACAGAGGCAGATAAAAGTGCATTTTAAAGGATCACAGACTTGGAACTGGAAGCACACTTACAAGTCATTCAGTGAAACATCTTCCCAACCCCACCCCCACCCTCCACCCTACCACCACCACTCTACCCTTACAGAAAAGGGAAGAGAAGCCCAGAGATTAGGTGATTTGTCCAGTGTTTTACAAGCAATAAGTATCGTGTGTGTGTGTGTGTGTGTGTGTGTGTGTGTGTGTGTGTGTGTGTGTGTGTGTATGCATGGATATCCAATTTCATTTGATCTTTATAACAATTCTGTGGGTTGAATACTGTTTTTATTCTCATGGGTTACTTGGCCCAAGGAGTGATGAAGTCCTGCAGCCAGCGTGGGTTTCTGAGTTGATTTCGTCTTGCGGAATGATGAATTTCTGGAGTCGAGGAAGTTGTGGAAAACAGCTGGGTGGGGAATGATGATCTGAGAAATGGAAGTAGAGAGAGGCTAGGTGACTTGCCCAGGGTCATCTAGTAAGTGTCTGAGGCAGGATTCAAGCTCTCTTCTTGATTCTAAATCAGGTACTCTGTCCACTATACCGAGTAGCTAGGTCAAAGTCAGCTAAGTAGAGGGGTTGGGCGTTCGGGGTGGGCTAGGGAAAGGAATGGCTGGAGCAAAAATTCAGAGGTTACTTGTGAAAAGGGATGTTTTGTTCTTGCCATTGTATCCCCAGCACCTAGCACAATGCCTAGCACACAGGAGGCCCTCAATAAGTACTTGTTGAACTGATCTGAATGTGCTCAGATGTCTGGGAGAGCGTGACTCTGAGCTGAGTTGTGGGAGGTCAGTTTGGAAGGGTAGTTTGGGCCATATTTGGGAGGACCCCTGGTGAGGAGATCCTACTTTATCCTGACCCAAAGGTCTTTTCTTTCTGGCCTACTCCCTGGATTAGGAGAGACCCCTCAATAAAGGGTTAGAGGCTCCTTGCTGACTGCCTCTCTTCGAGCCCTTCACGTGAGTGACTTCAGACTCCACTCCCTAGAATCCATTACCCTGGAAGTCATACACCTAGAAGCTCTGATGCATGACTTAGCTTTACCCAGTTGGCCAGAGGAGTTGTTCAAGCCTCCCATGCAAAGCCCCTTATTACTCTCAACCTGTCCAATTCACTCTCACGACTTAGAAATAGGCAATATAAATATGCTTTGATGAAATCTGTGATTGAATAGGAAGTCCCTAAGCTTTGTGCGGATGAGGTACACTGGTCTTTCTAAAAGGTAGCTACAAGAGGACCTTAAAGACCTTCTTAGAGGACTTCTAAGCCCCTCGTTTATAGAGGAGAGAATGGAGCCCCAGAAAGTGGAAGTGACTAGCGCAAAGTCACACGGTGATAAGGAGCAGAGCCCAGCTTTGAAGCCAGGACCTCCAGCCTTCAAATCCAGCTCGCATTCCATAGAGGCACCACTTTGCCCATAGCAGCCAAACCCAGGCACAGGTGGAGGGGAAGTCACAAGCCTCGATGTGGCCTGGGTTTGAGGGGTAACAAAATGTATTTCTCACTCAGAAACCTCTCTCCAACCAGCTGTCTAAAGTCTCCCACCTTTAATCACTCCTTTTGGTGAAGGCACTAAAGCAATTATGCTATTTAGGACAGGTAGCCCATGAGGATTTAGCACCAATGAACACCTCCTGGAGAGACAGTCCATCACCCGTTAGAGCCCTGGAGGGATGGGAAACAGGATGGAGAGAAAGAATAGGTCATACCTAGGGAGGACACAAATTGGCCTAGTAAACAGAGTGTTGGGCTCCAGTCAGGAAGACCTGAGTTCAAATTCTGTCTCTGATGCCTTCTACCTGTGTGACCATCCACAAGTTTTTTTTAATATCTTTCTTTCTTTTGTTTTGTTTGTTTTTATATCTTTCAAGGCTTTAGTTTCCTCATTTGTAAAATGAGAGGGTTTCGATATATCATAGGATCATAGACTTAGAGGTGTATGGAACCTCAAAGGTCCCCTAGTCTAGCCCTCCTATTTTACAGATGAGGAAACTGAGGCTGAGTCAGGGTCACACACAATCAATCTCTAAGCTCCCTTACCACTCTAAATCTTGGAGTTGGAGTCAGGAAGACCTGAGTTCCAATCCTGCCTCGTCTACTTCCTAAATCATTTAACCTCTCTCAGCCTCAGTTTTCTCATCTGTAAAGTGAGAATAATAACAGCACCTATTTCACAGGGTTGTTGTGAGGATGAAATGAGATAAGGCCACAGCTTTGCAAACAAATAAATGCTAGGTATTGTTATTATAATTTTAATCATTAAATCTGTATTCCTCTGATCTTATGAGGACAGTGCTGGGTGAGGTACCATGAAGGAAGCCTGAAAAGTCATGGGAACCTCAGAGTGGGAATTTAGAAAGGTAGACAGAAAGCCCTGGGAAAAGCTTCCAGTTTCACTATTTTACCCAAGACCAGGCCTACTAATAATGGCTTTTCATCCCTCTTGGGCTTTTTTCTTAAAGCATTTTACAAGAAAGGTTTGGAGTGGCATGGGGGGAGGGGAGAGGGGGGAGGAGGGAGGGAGGAGGGAGAGGGTTGGAGAAGAGAAACAAAGCCAGGTTTCAAAGACTGCAGGGAGAGAGGGAGGCCTTGAGTCCAAGATCTGTTTATCGCAACGCAGGAGTTTGACTTGGCTGTGGAAGTGGTGCTAATTCGATTGAAGAGGATGTGAGAGTTGGAAGGCCTTTGTTATTAGTGCATTCTAAGATGCTGATGGATTTACACATTTATTTATCTCAATTGGTGTGTAATCTTCATCCTCCTGCACATTCTTCCCTTCCTCCTCCAGCCAGTCAGCTGGGAGCTGAGAAACAGATTCCAACACCACCCCTCCACTCTCCCCAAGATAAAATCAGTCCATCAACAAGTAATTACAGGAGGGCCTCCTGTGTATCCCAGGCCAGCCCTGGGGCTCCTGCTGGGGGGGGGGGGCAGGAGAAGAGAGGAAGAGAGGGATTCTAGAAAGAATACACAGCCCTCAGCCAGAGGAGTGCAGGAGAACAATAATAATAACTCGCAATAATCATTCATACTTCTGTAATGCTTTTAGGGTTACAAAGAGCTTTCCTCCCAAGGACCCCAGGAGGGAGTGCATGTACTCATTATCTGTATTTTATAGAAAAGGGACATGAGGATCAAAGGCATTAAGTGACTTACCTAAGGTCACACAGCTAGTAAGTGTGGAGCTCACATACCAGAGGTGTGCTGGTAAATATTTAACAACACAGCTGGTTTTTCCAAAAGAATTGAACTTTTCAGTTTAGTCTGAATTATTAACATTTTCTTCGATTGCTTTCTTAAGTCTAGACAATCAATAAAACAATATGCCAATCCCTGATGTGTAGTTTTCAAGGAGTAAATTCTCATGCTGAAAATTGAACAATCAGCTCTCTTGAGCCTATGTGAGCAGGCTCAGACACATCCTTGTTACTTAGAGTAGAGCAGGGACGGAAGTGATATGGAAAGAAGATTGGTCCATTGGTCCATGGGCTGACTTGCAGAGAGAGAAGCCTAAAGATAAAGAAACCACAGAATCACAGACCTGCAGTTGTAATCCAACCTTTTCATTTTACAAATGAGGAAACCGAGGTTAAATGAATGGATGGATGAGCATCCAAAAAAAAAAGCATTTACTATGTGCCAACTACACATATGAGTGAGTTCACCTACAAGGCACATAGAAAGGCCCAAGAGTCTGGAGGGCATAGCAGCAGGGCCAATGGCAAGGCCTTTGGCAGATAGTAAGGCCTAGTGGATTTCCATCTTTCTTGAAGGCTAGTGGTTTGTGACTCTCAGTTCATCAAAGCAACGTGAGCAAACATGGCCTTCTTCTTGTTCTACTACCCCCATGAGGTGTGGGGCATCCACAGTCATACAGGTAGTAAGTAGAAGAGCTAGGATTCCAACCCAGGTCCTCCAACTTCAAAGCCAACATTTTTCTCCAACACCAGATGGCCTCTAGATCCAAGGGACATCTGCTAATTCTCAGCATTAGGATCACTGCCAAACAGATGCCTCGCCTTTTTCTAAGATAGAACTCTAGCATCCAGGCCTAGGAGCTTGTGTAGGTAGGAAGAGTGGTCTGGATTGGGTATCGTTCATCTGTCTTCACATGACTCAGCTTTGGCATACACCACAAAAGCTACAGAGCCTCGTCCACAAAGTCCATCAGCCCAGTCAGCATCAGAGTGCTGGGTTTCTGCCAGCCCTGGCCTACACCTCTGTTCTCATAAAGTCTTGCTCGTTGCCATTCTCGCTGTGTGACCAGGAAAGGGTGACCACTTAAACCTCTCTGAATCTGTTCTTCCTTCTAAAATGAGGAAAATATAGATTACCATTCATTTGGGATGTTATAAAGGGGCTTGTAATTCAAGTATCACTTGGGCTTAGTGGTCTTCCATCTTGGAGAAGCTGTGATTCTATGGTTGTTTTTTAGGATACCTGGATGGAGGAATGAAAGATTATGTTTCCTCCAGCCCTTCCTATATCAAAGGAGAAGCTTCGAGCTATATCTCTGTGTTTCTTGGGTTGGTGAGCAGTCTATAAACTATGGATTTGCTACCATATTCCTGGGTCCCCTCCTGGATTTGGGAAGATGTTGGAGATGATTAGAGCTTTTAAGAGTATTCAACTTAATTCAGCAAATAGGTACAAGGTATTGGGAATTAGGTATTGGATAATTAGGTGGCACAATATATAGACTGCCAGGTGTGGAGTCAGGAAGACTCATCTTCCTGAGTTCAAATCTGGCCTCGGACAATCACTAGGTGTGGCACCCTAGGCAAGTCACTTAATCCTGTTTGCCTCAGTTTTCTCATCTGTAAAATGAGCTGGAGAAGGAAATGGTGAACCACTCCAGTATCTTTTCCAAGAAAACCCCAAATGGGGTCACAAGGAGTCAGACACAACTGAAATGAATGAAGAACACAACAAATTGGAAATGGAGGTGGGAGCAGTGGACTGTTGTTATTTCAGCAAAACCAGATTTGAACTCAATGGCCAAGAGGATATTTATTTTTTGGTACCTCCCACTTCCTTTTATAGCTCCGTTTTCCCCTACCTTCAAGCAGGTAATTACCCTATGCCCAATTCCCATAAAGCCTTGTTCTTTCTTTTATAATTTCTCTATGAAAATGTCAGCTAATAAATTAAAGGCTTAAGTTGCGATCCCTCTCATGTGCATTTATTTGTATTTTCCTAGGGGACTGGAGATCAGGAAGTTGTAGGAGTGAGTATATTAGACCCAAAGGAATGAATCTTTAATGGTGGAATTTAAGGTGTTCTGATATGGTAGTAGTAGGAAATGTACATTTATTTAATGTCCATTGTGTGCTGGGCACTATGTTAAGTGCTTTACAAATATTATCTCATCTGATCTTAGCAAAACCCTCAGAGGTAGCTATTATTATCCCCATTTTATAGTTGAGGAAACTGAGGCAGACAGAAATTAAGTGACTTGCCCAGAATCATACCGCTAGTACACGTCTGAGGCTAGATTTGAAGCGAGGTCTTCCTACCTTCAGGCCCAACACTCTATCCACTGGGCCACCTAACTGCCTCATAGGGGCAGAAATGCTTGAGTATCTTATCGGGTGCCCCTCAAATTAAACCACTAAGTCAGACATTTGTAACGAAGGCTATCTCTGTATCCCTTCCCCATGTCTTAAACCCAGATTAGGTCGGGGGTGAGAAACGTGCAGCCTTGAGGCCACATGTGGCCTTCTAGGTCCTCGGGTGGGGCCTTTTGACTGAGTCCAGATTGTACAGAACAAATCCTTTTATTAAAGGGATTTGTTCTCTGAAGTTTGGATTCAGTCAAAGGGCTGCACTTGAGGACCTAGAGGGCCGCATGTGGCCTCAAGGCCACAGGTTTCCCACCCCTGAATCACCTACATCTATGAGAACAGAGAAGGAAGATCCAAGCACAGCAATATCTCAGCTTGTCACAGGCCCCGCATTGCCCACCCCAAGGGGCACCAAACCTTAAACTACATGTGGTTGGTAACCACGTTGACCCCAGAGGGCTACCTTGGCTGGAATTCCTCCTGGCACCCAGAAGGAATATTTTCTGCATTGGTTCTGCTTCTCCGCCAGGCCCTCCTCCCCTTTCTTCAGACTCTTAATTGATAGGGTTCTACATCCTTGCACATGAGAGGGGCTTCTGAGAAGGGAGAGCAGAAGGAATAGATCACAGGTTCATGGATTTAACCTGGAAGGGACCTCAAAGGCCATTCAGTCCAACCTCCTCATTTGACAGATGAGGAAACTGAGGCCCAGAGAGGTTAAGTGACTTGCCCAGAGTAGGCTAGTAAAGTTTCCAGTGTGGAATGTGAACCCAGCATTCTATTCACTGTGTCTTAAAAGGTGTGATTCGGGGATTGGGAGCAAATGGGTCTATCTGAAGTTCTAGGGAAGGGTAGGAAATGAGGCAGGATAGTTAGGTAAGGCAGGGCCTGACTGTGAAGGGCCTTGGGTGCCAATTTAAGGAGTTTGGACTTGATTCTCCAATCCCCGAGGCGCCTCCCCTCCTAGCCCCCTCCTTCTCTGGCTTGCCTTGTCTTTCCAGAGCTTTGAAAAGTTATTTTTAAAGTTGGTGTTTTGTGTTTTTCCTCCCAAAGTTCTTCTCTGTGACAAGGCTGGAGGTGAGGTGACAGCCCCTCCCCACCCAGCTTAGGGAAGGCCCCTTTCTCCAGCCAAGGCCCCGAAGGGATTGGAGTTTTCCCTGAGTGAGGCCACCTCAAGTTCATCCTAACGGATTCTGTCTGGTCTTTTCTTAGGGAGACATTAATGGATTGATTAATGACCAAGATGATGACATTTTTGTCCACCCACTCTCTTCCGAGAGAAAAGAATAGAAACATTGTGCTAGCCTGTGGAGCCATATCAATGAGGAGTTTGAAGAAAGGGGAGGAGGGCCTGGTGGAGAAGAAGAACCAATGCAGGAAATATCTGAGGCTGGAGTAGGGTGTGAGAGGTAACTTGAAGGTCAGCCTGGGTCATTTGGAGCCAGTGAAGCAGGAAGAGATAAGAGGACCCTGGAAAGTGCTGGAAAGGACTTTGAATACATCTAGGCCAGCACGCTTATTTCACAGATGAAGAAACTGAGGTTCAGAGAAGATAGGGTATTTGCTCATGGTCAAAGGAATCAGAGGCAGGGTTTGAGCCAATGTTCTTTCCATTGCATTATTCGGCCTTCTCTTGAGAAGGCTGATGAGGACGGTCCTGACTAACTAGGGTTACTGGGGACAGCTTCGTGCATGAGGTGGCATTGGAGTTAGGTGTTTAGAGGATGCTTAAAATCAATCAATCAATAAGAAATCCATCAACCAATAAGCATTTCATTAGCATCTATGTGCAAGCACAGTGCTGGATGATACAAATATGAAGAATGAAACAATCCCTAGGATGCTAAGTATACATGAACCTTTGGGAATCACATGTAATACAAACCCTGCCTATTTCCACCTCAAAACTAGGGGAGAAGGGGCAGCTAGGTGGTGCAGTGAATACAGCACTGGCCCTGGATTCAGGAGGACCTGAGTTCAAATCCGGCCTCAGACACATAACACTTACTAGCTGTGTGACCCTGGGCAAGTCGCTTAACCCCACTGCCTAGCCAAAAATAAAAAAATTAAAACTAGGGGAGAGAAGGGTCCTTGAATAAGATGTGTCTTACCACACTTGGTGTCCAAGGCCCGTGGCCCAGCAGATGGATCTCCCATATAAAATAGATTGTAAGCTCCCTGAGGGCAGGGACTGTCTTTCCCTTCTTTCTGTATCCTCAGGACGTAGCACAGTGCCCAGCGAATAGTAGGTGCTTAATAAATGTTTGTTTTATTGACCGAGTGGATTTGTCTAAAAGATCTGATTATCTAGATTTCCCCTGAGTACTTGATTCTCGAACCCTTCTTCTGCAATGGGAACAATTTGGAAGTTCCTCATTTCACTGGCAGAGTCCCTGTCAGAGGCCTCCAGCCAGGTCCCATGCAGGTGGTCTGCCATTAACCAGCAGCCTGCCCACTGACGTAACATAGAAAGAATGCTGAATTGGGAGTTAGAAGACCTGGGTTCGAATCCCAGTGTTGCTAGTTATTACCCTTGTGACTCTAGCAAATCACTGAACCTCACCAGGCCTGGACTCTATGAACTCTGAGGTCCCTTCCAGGTCTGTCATTCTATAGTCTAAGGCCCCTTCCAACTCTGAAACTTTATATATTAAGGTCCCTTCCAGCTTTAACAGAGGTGTCTTCCAGCTCTGACAGTCTATGATCCTACGACCCCCTTAATTCAGGACCTAGAATAATAGATCCTACTTATTATGTGAGGGAGAGAGAGAGAGAAAGAAGAAAGAAAGAGAGAGAGAGAGAACTATACACTATATAAAAACCCATTAACTTGATGGATTTCTTTGAGAAACAAACATTTAATGGAAGGAATCTGGAATCCATCAATCAGTGGATATTTAACTGAGCATTTACAATCATTCATTCAACAACCACTAAATGCTACTGTGTGCTATGAGCATTAGGAGATAAAAAGATATTGTCCACAGGTTTCTGTACTGGGAATTCATATGAGTTAGAGGCCAAGGTGACCTATAATGGCCCTTCCATGTGTCCTAAGGGCTGTGTGGGTGCAGAAGAAATACTAGACAAGGTGTCGACCCTTAAATATAGGTGCCAAGACAATACAACCCGAAACAGAGAGCAAAGAGCATTTGGCTGTGAGGGCTGTAGCAGCCTGAGCTCTGGCCCATACAGTAAGTCAGGGAGCCTGGCTGGAGACGTGTGTGCGAGCTGAAAGGAGGGAGAGATGAAGCTGCAGAGAGAACATAGACCTAACTAGAAAGGGCATCGAATGCCATGCTGGGTGGTTTGGATTTGACTGCAGTAGGCAGTGAAGAGGCAGTAAGCAGTCTATCCTGGCTCGGTCTGGTCTGGTCCCTCAGGACGAGGTGACTCAAGGGTCTGGACTGTCCCCCATCCCCAGATGACAGACTCAAAGTCTGCCACGGGGGACCAGGATTCCAGAGCCAACAAGAGCCCTTCCTCCAGCAGGTATGACACATGAACTTCCCAGGGCTCTTGACTTCCAGCCGCAGTGTGACTTGTGAAAACCATTGCTATGGTGATTACTATCATGCTTCAATTTTTGGAAATTAATCAAGATGATAACAGTTCTCCAGACCATTGGGATTAAGTCAATTCAGTAGGAATTAATTACAAGCAAGAAATAAGCTTACAGAGCAATTCATAATGAAGTTCCCTGGGGTGTAGAAAAAAATAATGGTCTGTCTCTCTTCCTTCCTCAGATCATAGATTTAGAGTTGAAAGCCCTGGAAGAGTTAGAGGTCACATACTCCAACCTCCTCATCTTACAAATGAGAAACTGAGGTCCAGAAAGGGAGGTGAGGGACTTGCCCAAGGTCATACAGACAAGTAAATAGCAGTCAGAATTTGGACCCAGCTCCTCAAACTATAGATCCACCATGCTTTCCAATGTATCCCACTTCTTGCTTTCTCTTCCCACCTGAGTTCTCCCTTCTCTTTCTCACTTCTTCCCTCCCAGTGTTCCTCTTCCCTTCTCCCTCCCCTCCTGAATTTCTTATTTCTTCTTATCCTTCTCATAGAGAATTTAAGAGTTGAAAGAGATATTTAGAGATCATATAACCCATCCTTCTTCTGCTGAATCTCCTCTGGGACATCCCTGACAGGTATCATCCACTCTCTGCTTGGGCCACCTCTGATGACAAGGGATTCATTACCTCCAAAGGCATGGCGTGCCACCGATGGACAACTTTTCCCCTTTGGTCCTAATTCTGCCCTCCAAAGCCAGACAAAATAAATCTGCTCCCTCCTCCCACATCTGAGCTCCCCCAATAGAATGCAAGCTTCTTGAAGGCAGGGATTGTTTCATTTTATGCCCTTGTATCCCCAGCACAGCACCTGGCACATTGGAGATGCTTAATGAATGCTTGTTTATTTATTAATCGATCCCTTTAAGATATTCTAATTCAAGAATTCAATCCAAGAAATATTTCCTGAATATCTACTAAGTACAAGGTGACCACGAGGGCCTACATAAGCAGAGGACCATTAATTGTAGAGGAGAAAGGTATCTTGGGGGCCACCTAACCTAACCTCAACTTTCTGCAGATGAGGAAACTGAGACCCAGAGATGGGAACCTATGTCCAAGGTGACATAGGTAGTAAGCAACAGACTCGTGCATCCTCTGACGCTAGACTCAATGTTCTAGGTCATAAGTAAGGTCCCTTCCTGAACTATGTCCCTGATCCTATGAACCCAAGTCTGACACTCTACCCACTGAGCCGCACTTCCAGCCAAGGCCAAGAGTTCCCATTTGGCGTGAGGAAAGAACAGGTGTATTCTATATGGCTCCAGAGGGAAGAACAAAGTCAAGATGAGTAAGAGACTGATGGGGTTTGGCTTAATATAAGGACGAAATCAGATGGAATTGTTCTTTAATGTTCTTCCTAAAGAGGTGGTGAGCCCCCTCTCGTTGAAAGTGGTCAAATGGAGGCTAGATGGCTGCCTGTCCTGGGAACATGGTTAGATTGTATATTATTTAACATAAAATAGAGATAATTACGCTTTCATTACCTCCCTCACGAGGTTGTTATGAAGAGACTTTACACGCCTAGAGGAATGAGAGCTATCTTCTGCCTTATCATTACTAATGGGCACAGAAAAAGTCTGGGCCACTTCCAGACACCAGGCTGTGTGCATCCTCCTAGAACAGGCAATGGGGCCGAGCGTCCAGGGGCTGAGGCCCCTGCCCCAACAGGACAGGTGATGGCACGTGGCCTTGCCTCCAGGGGAGGCAAGAGAAGAGTTGGGAAACGAGTTCAAAGGAAGTTGGGGGCCTAAATTCAGTGATTCTTATTAGACAAGTCCCTAAGAAGGAAATGAGGAGATCTGCCAGCTGGCAACATACTATGTTGTGACAGAGAGAGGAAACTGCCCCCAGGCAGCTGGGAAAGGAGCCTGGGTTTGAAGAAGGAAGGAATGGCCCAGAGTTAGGGCCTCCGTCATCTTTTGCGCCTATCCTTGTGATTGGCATGGGTAGTATGTGTGTATGTGCGTGAAAGAGAGAGAACAGAAGGGAGAGAGAGAGAGAGAGAGAAAGAGAGAGAGAGAAAGAAAGAAGGAAGGAAGGAAGAAAGAAAAAAGAGGGAGGGAAAGAAAAAAGAGAGAAGGGAGGGAAAGAGAGAGAGAGAATAAGAATAGATGTGCATCATATAAGCATTTATATAGTACCTACGGTGTGCCAGACACTGTGCTAGGTGCTGGACAACTATTATATCATTTGATCCTCACCATAACCCTGAGAGGTAGATACTATGATTATTCTCATTTTATAGATGAAGAAACTGAGGTTAACAGAGGTTAAGTAACCTGCCCATGGTCATACAGCTAGCAAATGACTAAGGCTTCACTTGAACTCAGGTCTTCCTGACTCCAATTCCAGCGCTTTATCTACTGTGCCACCTAACTATCTATGATATTAAGAATTTATTCAAGATCCGTCACCAGAAAGGCTGCTTGGGGCTGATTTGAATTGGTAGAACGGCTTAATTTAAAAAATTAAATATTTATTAAAGATTTAATGTTGGACATCAGCACAGTTAATTAAACTTGCTTAATGACTATTTACATTTAAATCAGAGAAAGAATAAGCATTATATTACACTAATACACCATAATAATAACTAACATTCATACAGCACTTACTGTATGCCAGGTGCTATACCAGCTGCTTTGCAAATATTATCTCATTTGATCCTCACAACAGCTCTTCAAGGTAGGTGCTGTTCTATTATTATCCTCATTTTACAGTTGAGGAAACTGAGACAAACAGAGGTTAAGTGACTTGCCCAGGGTCATAGGGCTAGTAAATGCCTGAGGCTGAATTTGAACTCAGATCTTCCTGACTCGAGGCCCATCGTTCTGTCCACTGGGCTACCTAGCTGCCTCTGAAATTAATTAATTTCAATGCATAAAATATAACAATTTCTCAGCCTCTCCCGGTCTCCTTCAAGATTCCTTTGCCCATTCATTCTCATTCACTTTTCCTCTAATACAGTGAAAGTTAATGTGTATTCTTCTCTTGTTCTGCTTTCCTCACCTTGCATTACTTCATACAGGTCTTTTCAGATGTCTTTGTACTCTGTTTTCAAACCTACTGGTGGTCTTAATTGCATCATAGCATTCCATTACATGCATATGCCACAATTTATTTAACCATTCCCCCTCCACTGTTGGAGGTTAAATTACTTCCAGCCTTTTGTGTAATTGCAAATAATGCTTTTAACATCTTTGGATATGAAGCTCTTTTTTTCCCTTTACTTAACACTTCCAGTTGTATATTCCCAAGGAATTATTGGATAAAAGGGTTAATTTTGGTAACTTTTACTTTATGCTGCCCAATTTCACTCCTGAAAGATTCCACAAGTGTACAATTCCATCACTAATGGATGAGTATGCCTGTTCCTGCCCCATTTCACCACCATTGAGTTTTGGTGCTTTTAATTCCTTTTTTGCCAATTGGATGGGGTGTGGTGGAACTTGAGTCGTTTTAATTTGCATCTCTTCAAGTATGAACATTTTTTCAAGTCATTAACAATTTGTGTCTTCTCTTTTGAAAAATGCCTGTTTATAACCTTTGACGATTTGTCCATAGCTCATTCATTTTTCTGGGACTGGGAGCCAATACTGCTCCCCACTTTTTTCACCCATCCCCTCCTCCACCCCTCCCTGCCTCCCTTTAGAGAACCTCAGCCCCACAAGGAGAGGTCAGACAGGGACAGAACTGTCTGTTTTCAAAGCAGGAAACGTCGTAACCTCCACATCTGCTTGTCCCTTACATGACATCATCTGCTTTCATTTCAAATGCTGCAGGAGGGTTCTCTGTCTTTGTCTCTCTCTCTTCCTCTCTCCTTCCTACTCCCTTTTTTTTCTTATCTAATGACCTCTAACGTCCCTTCCAGCTCTGAAATACAATGATCCTCTCTTCAGTTTTTTCCCTCTGCTTTCTCCCCTCCAATCTCCTCTCTCCTCTCTTTCTTTCTCTCTTTCTCCTCTCTCTCTCTCTCTGTCTCTCTCTCTCTGTCTGTGTCTGTCTTTCTTTCTCTCACACATGCCCCTCTACTCTGTATCTCTCTCTTCTTCTCCTCAATCCTCCTATCTCTTCTTCTCTTTTCTACCTCACCCCCCTCCAGCTATCCCAACCCCTTGTCTACCTTTTCCCTTCCTTATTGATCTCTGCCCTCAAGAGCTTTCAATCCGGTAGAGAAGATGAGATACAAGGACAAATGAGTGAAGCACATTATAGAATACAATAATTGCCAGATAGGGAGTACAAATAATAATAACAGAAACTGACATTTCTATATTGCTTTAAGGTCTGCCAGGTGTTCTCCATAATTATCTCATTTGAGCCTCACAAAGACCTTGCAAAGCAGGTCCTCTGTAGTTATTGTTAACCCCATGGTACAGGTGAGGAAACAGGATCAGTGAAATCAAGTGACTTGTCCACCATCACACAGAGTCAGGTTTTTCCAGACTCCTAGTCCAGTTTGCACTATAGCATGGGTGCGTCTAGTACTAAATGATGAGGAGCTTTTAGGGAAGGAAGATCTGGCTTCAGGAGATCAGAGATAATTTTTGAAGAGATAGCATTTGGGTTGTGTCTTCATGAAAGGCATGAGAAAAAGCATGGAGGAGGGAAAGCCCAGGACACATATGGAGAATGAAGGATAGTCCAGTTTGTCCAGTTTGGAAGAAATAGAGCAATGCCTTGCATACTGTAGGAACCCGACTCATGTTTGTTGAACTGGATTCTGTCACAGAAAAGTAGGAGATGAATGGAAGAAGAGAGTAAGATCAGATTGTGGAGAATCTTGAAAGCCAGAGAGGAGTTTGTACTTTATCTGTGAGCAGTGAGAAGCCATTGAAATTTTTTGAGCAGGAGAATAATTTTTAATTCACATTCCACTTTTGGAAAATGAGTGGCAGCATGTGGAAGATGGATAAGAAAGCATGAAAATCAGTCAGGAAGCTACTGGGTATAAATAAAGAGGGCCGGAAGTAGGGTAGCATCTATTCTAGGTTCATTAGTTATTATCATGCAGTTGGAAAACCAAAGGGTCTGCCCTCACCCCCTTCCACTTCCCTCCTCACCAACGAAATGCTGGTAGCAAGACTGGGAGCCTGGGGTCTTACTTTCCTTAAACTGATGATTTTCTTGACTGGGCTGATCCTGGAGCAGAAAAGGAGACTCAAAGGCTTCTGCATCCAAAAATAGCTTCTCCCCAGGCCTGATCTTGTCTGGAATTCTTAAATAGGTCTTACAGCTGAAAGGAAACTTACAGATAAAGAAACTGAGGCCTAGAGAATTGAAGTGACCCATATTTCTTTATGCTGAATCAAGACCAAACTAGGCTTTGGGATTTTGGGGAAGGGCCTGAGATGAACTGCCTCTGCCTTATTCCTTTATTCCTTTATCTCTGCCTGTCCCACCTCCCTCTGCCACCCGCCTCCACCACCCTCCACCCCATGACCTGAGAATCTCCAGCACTGCCCAAGAAGACCTTGAAGGAAGGGATGTTTCTCTAGACTAATTTGCCTGAGCCTGGGGCCTTCTGCCAACCAGCTAAGTGTGAGAACCTCCCTGGGGCCTGGGGCAGGCAGGGCTGACTGGGTCTGGCCCCTCTTGCTTAGAGGTGGGGGTGGGAGGGAGGAAATCAGGGAGGGCCCCAGGCTCACAAAGTGGCTTTTGGAAAGAGAACACTCAAACAGAACACAGCAGTTTCCACTTCCTTCCCTGGCTGTCAGGTGCTGCTGACCTTTCCCCACTGTGGCCTTGGCCAATCTGGAGGGCGGTCTCCTCTCTTCCACTGGAGTAGGGATAAATCCTTGACCTCCAGAGATCTTATCCCAAGCAATCCTCAAGAACATTGAAGGGCTCAATGAATATCAGCAGATTTGCCTGTGGTTATCAGAACCAAAAGCATGTTTCTTATTCCAGGGCCTCTGCAAATGTTACCCAAAATTTTGTTTTTCATCAGTAATGACCCCTTCTCATCAGCAGCATAATTCCCATTTTACAGATGGGGACCAAGAGGCACAGAAAGGGGAAAAGTGTTGCCTGAGGTTGCAGAGAAAGTCAGGGAAACATTTATCTCTAGTAAATGTCATTTTTAAAATTTTTATTTCAGCTCTTTAATCTGTCAGATCTCTGAGACTTTTCATTCTGCGTCATCTGCACATATGATGAAGAAATTTTCTATATGTTCATCTAAATCATTGACATTGCATGTATGGCACTCCTTCATACATGGGAGCCCCCCAAAAAAGCTTCCCAAGGGTTAAGATACTCCAGAGGTCCACATCCACCCCAAACCATAGCCCTGGAGCACCCACTGATGCGTTTGCTTTTCCTAGTCATCCAGAGAATAGTTCAAAGCAAAGGCATTTAGTGAAATCATATAATAAGAAAAGTAGCCATAGAGCACCTCCTCCCGTATAAACTTAGGGCACACCCTCTCGTAAATTTATCCACCGTCAGTGGGAAGAGTGCACGTATATGAGGTGCTATTGGAGGCACACACGTAGGCAGCAGATGTAGCCAGGGCCCCCTCACTGTAGGGTGACGGATCCTGCAGGACTGCCAGGCACTTCTGCCCCTCCTCCACTGGCCCTGGTCCCCAAAGGGCTCCAAGCCTCTGCTGCTTCTAAACTCTTTGCTGGGCTGTTCTCAATGCTGCTACTTGGTTAGCCTCAGTGGTCATCCGCTGCTGAGGAGACACCCCTGGCCCAATAGGGAGGTTGACTTCTCTGTCTTTTTTTAAAAAGCTTATTAAGGCTAAGCTTTAGCTCCTTTACAGAAATAGGCCATATTCCACAGGGTGCATTTGAAGACTGAGTCTATTCATTATGAGATTTGGGATCAATATCAGGTTATAAATATAAGATTTTACTTAGGAAGGTCATATTGCCCAAAGTCACAAAGCTAAGAAGTGACAGAGCTAAAACCTGAGTTTAATTCTCTTGTCATTATTACACCACACTGTATCTTACATACTTTAAAAAAAATTATAGTGTAGATTTTTTTTGTCTTTACATCACCTACATTTCCCAACATATCCCTTCCCCTCCTCCCACAGAGCAATTCCTTGCCACAAAGAATTAAAAAGAGTTCGGCAAAACTAAGCCACACAATCTATACAACATTCCACACCAATGGTTGCCCACTTTTGCAGAGAAATTCATAGGGCAGAGGAGGGGGGAGAATGCCTTTTCATATCTCTTCTTTTGGGATCATTATAATTTCATAGCATTCGAATTCTATTCTTTTCTTGTTATTCTTTCCATTTCCATTGTTGAAGTCATTGTGTACTGTTTTCCTGGTTCTGAAGACTTCACTTTACATCCACTCATATAAGTCCTCCCATACTTCTCATATTCACCATATTTAATTTTTTATAGCATTATAATATTTGATTATATTCATGTGCCAGAATTTGCTTGGTCATTCCCCAACCAATGGGAATCTACTTTGTTCCCAGTTCTTTGCTCTACCAAAAGTATTGCTATAAATATTTTTGTATATGTGACATTTCTTTTTTTCTAATGACATTGTTGGGATTATATGCTCTGAGTGAAATCTCTGGGTCAAAGGGAATGGACATTTTGGTAACTTCCATAGTATAATTCCTAATGGCTTTCCAGAATGGTCAGACCAATTCATATCTCCACCAATAGTATATTGGTGTTCTGTCTTTCTTCATAAGCCCTCCAACATTGGCTAGTCTCATCTTTTGTCATCTTTGCCAATTTGCTGAATATGAGTTAAAACTTTATTCTTATTTTGATTTACATTTTTGTTGCTATAGTGATCTGGAGTAATCTTTCATATGGTTGGTAATAGTTGCAATTCTTCTTTTGAAAACTATGCATCATATTCATTCAATGTTTGTCCAATGAGCTCTTACCTATTTTACCCCTTTGAGAGAGAAAGGGGATTCATCCAAATTCCTATAGCTGGAGAAATTCAGATGCAGAAAAGTTAAGTGATTCACCCAAGGTCACACAGCAGGGCACATCCTTAAATTCATTCTGCTGACTCTCAGGACCCTTATTACTTCAGCTGCCCCATCCAGGAACCCCAAAAGTCCAACACAGAGGCGACCTTGGCTCTGTTAGCTTGGCATGTTGTTAACAGGCTTTCTTGGGTTTCAGGATTTCCATGAGGCAATACTAAAAGCCCTAAGTGAGGAAACAGAGGACAATGAAGAGTCATTAGCCAGAAGCGAACTGAGACAAGGCTTGAGTGAGCTTCCAGCCATCTATGAACTCCACCAAGAGATCCTGAGTGAACTAGAAGAGAGAATACTGAACTGGTGAGTGGCCTCTCTTGGCCCCAATCTTCTTTTCTGATGGTTATGCTTTATAATGATCTCTCTCTCTCTCTCTCTCTCTCTCTCTCTCTCTCTCTCTCTCTCTCTCTCTCTCTCTCTCACTCTCTCACACACACACACACACACACACACACACACACACACACACTCCTCTACAGATAGCTTCCCTCAGACAAACCTTGGAATAAAAGTAATACAAGTGTCATTATCTCCATTTTCTAGAGGAGGAAACTGAGATTCAAGGAAAAATGAAGTGACTTGCACAGTCACATGGCCACAAATTGGCACAGCCTGGATTTAAACCTAGGTCTTCCAACTTCCAGCCTCTGATCTTTCCGATATACCATATACCATACACCATATATCCTAGGATAGGATGGTGCATGGAGTGACAGAGTTCTGCTAAGCTAGGACACACAGCAGAACTAGTAGAGCAAGACCCTATGGGTTTCAAAGGATTCAGAGCTAGAAGATATCTTGGGCTTATCTACTACTGAAGCAAAGATTTTCTTGTCTAACCCCTGCTTTTTACAGTTGAGGAAACAGTTGAGTCCATCCCTGGAGTGGGGAGAGGAAGACAAAAAAGCCACAGCTTTTTCCAGAAGTTCAAGCCACCACTGGCAACAGTAATAATAAATTACAGGAGGGTAACTATGGCAGGCTGCAAAAATTTACTACCTACTGCATACCTAGCAAAACATATCCTAATGGCTAGAATTATACATCAGAAGCTCATTATCTTTTGTGGAGTGACAGATTACAAATTCCCATACTACAAATGCCAGTTATTTTACTGTGTTATGGAAATGCTTGTCTTGTTCCTTGAATTGAAAACAAAATAAATTTTTAAAAATATCCTTTAGAACTCAATCAATACCTGCTACTGGAAGTGGACCATTATCACAGACCAAACTTTTTCCTGCATTGCCCAGATATAACATTGACCCATGAAAACTCAAGAACACTGTTTTTATGTCACCCTACCAAATACTCATATTTCCAGGGTACAAAAAAACCCAGCTTTTTAAAAATTGAGAACTAGCAGAAGAAATAAAAAGCATGTGGGAATAGGGCAAGATACTTATTCACACCATTTTATTTGCTACTGGAGTGGTACTAAAGATGTTTGTAGTGAGTCGACAGAAGATGAATTACATTTTAATACTTTTCTACACCTACCAAAAAAAAGCCATTATTTTAATACGTGTGTAATAGTCTACATATTAAATATAAAAGAATAAATATAAATAAATATATTTTATATGTTATATATAAATAAATGTAAAAGAATAATAGTAGGAGAGTGAAACTGTGGGACTGTATCTATCTGATACCATCCCCCAAAATGAGAAGAATGAGATGAAGATAATAATATTTGCTAACATCTACATGATGCTTTAAAATGTACAAAATGCTTTACATACATTATTTTGTCTGAACCTCACTAATGCCAGTAGATTAAAGCTTACTTTCCCCATGAAAGTCAGGAAACCTTCCACAGGACAAAGGTGGGGTGACTGGAAATCAAATGGCATGCTACAGAGGGGTTTGCTGGTAATTCTTAAACCATTTACTCAAAGTATCCCCTACTTCTATTTTTCTCACATGGCTTCAGGGAAGAGCAGCCAAAGGTGGCTGACATTTTCCTCACCCGGGCACCAAAATTCGACCACCATGTGGCTTACATCATGAGATTTGATAAGAATTTGGTCCTACTCAATGGAAACTGCATCAAGTCTTCCCAACTAGCCACCACCATCCGGGAATTTGAGGTAAAGTTCCCCCCCTTCTCTCTCCCTACCTCCCCAGCTTACTTCTCTGTGTACCCTCATCATTACTGTCGTCACTAGTCATAACTCACATTTCTGTTGCGTTGTAAGGTCAACAAAGCACTTGCCTTACAAATAACCCTACAAAGTGGCTCATACAAGTATTGATACCTCCATTTTACAGATTAGCAAACTGAGGCTTAGAAGTGACTTACCCATGCTCAGAAAACTAATAAATGTTAGAGCTAGGATTTGAACTCCTATCTCCTGATTTCAAGGCTTGTGCTCTTTCCACTAAACCCTGCACACTGTCTAGGGTCTTCTGACCTTTTCTTTTTGGATGTTCCACTTGAACTCAGAAGGGGAAGAACTACTGATTTAGGAATGGCGAAGGATGAGCTACTGAGTTCTTTTCTCCTCATCCTTCCTGTGCCCTCTGCCCTCTCCAGTGTGATGGGGCTGATAGATCATGGATTATCATCATGGCATCACAGATTTAGAGCTGGAACAAACCATAGACATCACTTAGTCCAATCTTCTCATTTTTCAGATGAAGGAAACTTGGGCCCAGCACCACACAATTAGTAAATGTCAAAGAAGTGGGATTTGAACCCAGGATGTCTTGACTTCAAATCTAATGCTGTAGCCACTACATCACAAAAGAGACATGAGGCCACAAGACAGAAAATAGATATTAATAAACACTGTGCCAATTGTGTGTATAAAGTAGTGAACTTTGCAGGGTTCATCAGGGCAGGTTTCCTAAAGGGACTGAGCTTAGAGCCATATATTAAAAGAGGCTGAAGGCTCTGATGAAAGCTCTCAGGCATACCTCACCATGTCGCGAATACCTCTGGGTTCTCAGAACCTGTACCAGAAGGGCCCAAGCTCCCATAAATCCTGATGAGTTGGAAAGATTCTGAGGCTTATCACTAGGTCACCTGTAGGAAAAGGGGGGATTGTTTAGCTACAGAAACTCTCTTAGACCATCGACTCAGCTTTAGAAGGGCTGGGACCTGCTTCTCTAATGAAATCACAGCTACTCAGAGCAGGGGAGAATTGGGAGGGATGTGGACGTGGAGGGAGGAGGCACATGCAGGAGCCTCAGCATGGAATCCGTGGGGTCCGGAGAGCACTGGGGCGAACCCTGCATTCAGAAGTCACCAGAGACTGACCAGAATGTTTCTCCTCTCTTCTCCTTGTGACCAGCAGAGTCCTCAAAGTGGTGGCCAAGGTGTGAAGCATCAGCTCCTGAAGGTGGTAGAGCACATCTTCCAGTACCAAGTACTCCTCACAGGTGGGCCTGGGGAGGTCACCAGGGATGTGGGCATGGTGGGCCAGGATGGGCAGAAGACATAGTGGACCAGGAGGGGTAGAGGACATATCAGGGCAGCTGTGCAGGGTCGGAGGGGACATTGTGGGTGAGGGAAGGTAGACTTTGCCATTGGGAGTAGCTTTCTGCAAGCCCTGTGAAATAAAAAGTCCAGCAGTACAGCAGCAAACTGAATTGGTTTGTATCCAAGGGTGATGACAATGATAGCTAACATTTATGTCGTACTTTAAGATTTGCAAAGTGCAATGCTATCCACATCCACAGAAAGAACTATGGAGTTTGAATGCAGATCGAAGCATACTATTTGTTCTTTTTTTACTTCTCTTTCGTTTTGTTTCTTTTTTCTTGTGGTTCCTCCTATTGGTTTCAATTCTTCTTTACAACATGACTAATGTAAAAATATGTTTAATAAGAATGTATATGTAGAGCCTATATCAGATTGCACACCATCTTGGGGAAGGAAGAGGGAGGGGGAGAAAATTTAAAACTCAAAAGTTTATGGAAATGATTGTTGAAAACTAAAAATAAATTAATTTTTAAAAATTTTAAAAATAAAAAAGATTTGCAGAGTGTTTTAAATATATATAATATATACGTATATTTATATATGCACACATTATATATACATTTCATATATTATATGTGCACATATGCAATTTTACACATGCACATATATATTTCATATATTTTATACATGTACATATATTGCATATATTATATATTTCATATATTATAGTATATATTATATTGATATATTATACATATATTATTTTATTATCTATTATGTAATATTATTCATATATATTTATAAAATCTCACTTGATCCTCATAACAACCCTTTGAAGTGGTTCCTTGTATTATCCTTATTTTATCAAAGAGAAACTAAGGCTGAGAGAAGTTAAACAGATTGCTTAGTGAATAAATATTTTGGGCAGGATTAAACTCAGGTCTTCTCGATTCCAAGTCTAGCGTTCTGCATACCACATCAGAAGTTTTAAACTTACTCCTCTCTCCCCATCCTCATCCATGGAATTCTTGCATGCTGCATGTCTACCACATTAAAATGTAGCTGGGAAATGTTTAACAAATTAAAATACAATATAGATAATGTCCATTTGTGATTTTCTAAGACAACACGGGGCCATTTCGATTGGAGTTGGACACCACTGTACCACACCACCTAGCTGTAAAATGCTGCTTCTCTCCTGCCATAAGTTCAATGGAGCTCTTTGTCTGACCCTTCTCTAGGAATGGCTTCAGCAGGGAAGAAAGAGATTGTCCTGAAGCTGAGTAAGGGAATGGAGTTGGCTAATCCCATCTGGGGTCACTGAGAGGAGCTCAGGGAGCATGTGAAAGGGCGTATCCAGGATAGGAGCTATGCCCTTGTCTTTGCTCTGAGTCTACCAATAAGCTGCTAGGATGATAGCAGAACCTGGTTTAAGAATCCATTGCCAGTCCTCCATATTAGGTGAGAGGAAGAGGAGGAGGAGCTGAGAATATTGTGAGATTAGACTGTGCCCATGAACCCCAGAAAAAAGTCTATCACTCAACATCATGGCAGACTTGGCATTTTGGACTGTGTTACTGGGTACATGAAAATCACAATCAATTCCAGGTGAAATTTAATTTCTAGGTCTGCCCTGTCTCAGGCCAATATGTTCCATCGGAAGAAAAGAAATTACATTTCATACTTAACTATGAATATGAGCTATT